CGCCATAGAACTCTTAGTATTTACTCAAAAATTGAGGTGAATTAAAAATAAAATTTTACAAAGTAAAGGTATTATCGGATTCAACATTTTATAAAGGAGTGGGGCAGTTAAACCCCCCCCCCCCCAAAAAAAAAACAAAAAAAAAAAAAAAACGGAAAATCGTATTCCTTGGGGGTAGACTTATAATCAACCAACACCTATGTGCGTCAATTTGTTACTTGTTGTTGAAATAAAAACCGTATGTATACAAGTTTAGAAAAAAAATTTAAGAAAGCGAAAAAGAAATAAAACTCAAAGTTAGGATGGGGGCAGCAGTGAGTGCTGTATCCCCGTTTGGTTACTCTACATTTTAATGAAAACGTGAAGATAAAATACCCCCCCCCCCTTTTCCTTTCATCTGCTTATTTCAATTTTGTATATGACGACCGGTGGAGGACATTGTCGGACATATCTCTCAGAATCTACGATCTCCCGCAGCATTTTTGTTTCAAAAATATTCCCACATGATTCTCATATATCAAAATGTTTTGCATTAAATCGTAGCTTAAACTAATAAAAAAATGTCAGCGAGAGCTGCATAGAGAAAAAAAAACCTGCACAATCAAATCCAAATAAAATTTTTGGAAAACAGATTAATTTATGCATCCCTTAAATAATTTTAAAATGATAGATACCTGCACGTCCATCTCACTCGGCATTTCAGTTGAGAATGCTTAAAATGGGATACTAAATCAACTTTCTGCAAAATCATCTGATTGGTTGGGAGGTATACACCCAAATACGCATGTAAATTAGTGAGGTCCTTGGAAAGGTCATGTCACAAGTCATTTAGAATTCGTTTCTCATGTATCAGAGATAATCGAGCTATCGCTATATATGTATCTTCTGCAATGTGTATATAAATAATACAAAAAATCTGGCCTTTTTGTTAAGTTTGAAGAAATCAAGGATACAAAAAAGAGTTTTAGTCTGATCAAAAAATTAAAATTCCAGATCTGAATAAGACATAAGTAATTAAAGCCTACATATGAATTATGATTCTATCATTGTAATAAATCCTAAATATGATTCTATCATTGTAATACATCCCACATATGATTCTATCATTGTAATTATCTTTGTATTATATCCCACATAAAATTATTATGATTCTATCATTGTAATAAATCCTACATATAATTCTATCATAGAAATATATCCCACATATGATTCTATCTTTGTATTATATCCCACATAAAATTATTATGATTCTATCATTGTAATAAATCCTACATATGATTCTATCATAGTAATATATCCCACATATGATTCTATCTTTGTATTATATCCCACATATGATTCTATCATTGTAATAAATCCTACATATGATTCTATCATTGTATTATATCCCACATATGATTCTATCATTGTATTATAACCTACATTTGATTCTATCATTGTATTATATTCTACATTTGATTCTATCATTGTATTATATCCTACATTTGATTCTATCATTGTAATTATATTCCACATATGATTCTATCATTGTATTAAACCTACATTTGATTCTACAATGTGTATATCTAACAACTAATCCAGAAATGGTCATTCCTCTTCATTCTAGGCATCTGATCTAAGTTCTCCTATAGTTATGGTTAAGATCCTAAACTTGACCCTTTGATTTTATAGGTGTATTACATAATAACAGAAATCGGACTGAATAACAGTAATGTTACATCCTAAATCAGAATAACTATACATAACCTTCAGTTCCAGCCTAATGCATGTATTACGAGTTATATTCATGCAAGTGTATCAAAATTAAATGCTAATTAATACATGTACGATTGCTTTTAGCTATCTTACAAATCTTCTCTAGCTGTCAATTATGCATTAAGTTCATGTGTAGAATATTAAACACGTTTAAATGCCACTTGATAATACAGTAATAATCCGCGAGTGTGATTTTGTTTTTATTTCACTTCTTCAATGAAAACACAATGTGTATTGATTTTCTGGCATTACATGACACTCCTTAAAATTAAAAACACAGATCTCGCCTCCACATTACTGTACCAGATAAAGCCAAAGATAGTAAAACACTCACTGACTCTGTTCAGGACATTAGTACAAAATAATTATCATTATCTTCATTAGGTTTCTGTTTCCTTTTTAAATAAAATTTCTGAAATACAGATATATAATTCATATATATTGTTAGGGCCAAAATAAAATTATAGTTTGTTTGGAAATTACCCCCCTCCTGAAAAAATTTTAATGACCAAAAGTAGGAAGATTTTTTTTTATTTAATCAAGGTTTTTGCCTTTTACATGTATCACATACAAAACACTGAAATAAAGTGTCAGATCTATGTAAAATTAGGTTTTCAATATATATGAAACCCTTCAGGCGGCAATTCCAAACAAACAATTTTTTAAGGATGGCCTAGTGTTAAATAATGTACAAGTGACCATGAAGTAGTATATTATCACACCATTATATCACATTATCTTATGTAATACATTGTATTGCATATATGGTATGCAAATATAGTTTTTGAAAAATGATAGTGGGTTTTACTGATTAGATGAAAACAAAACTGAATATGCTGATACAAGCAACAACTGTGAGGAAGCCTGCATTGTATTGCAGAACCTGGGGCCATGTTGTAAAAGACTGTATCCCCAGGGGGCCAGGACCGATTAGTACCAAGGTGTCAGGGACATCATGTTATAATATACACAAGACTGTCACCATAGGATGCATATTGGGTGCTGTAAACAAGGATCTATTGGTTTGATAGTTTGTTGAAAAAAAGTAAACAAAACAATCAACAATTTCTAGTGTTTCTTCTGCCTAGCAATTTCATATGCAAGATTTGAAATCTAATAAAGAAAAACCCTAAGTTTCCAATACTTTATGGTTTGGGTGTACAAAACAGAAAAAGTTTTTGTTTTACACTGTGTACACAATGTAACTTATGGATCTGTTTACTAACTGACATCAAGTATACAAGCCTGACCTCAAAACATTTTCAGAATGTGATCCAACTGGGTTAATTTGAATTATTTTTACATTTAATTCAGTTGATGTAGGGATTCTTCAAAATCACTTGACTGCTTTAGACAGTGGTATTCCCCCTCCCTCCTTCTCCCTCCTATTGCCCTATAGTCAACAACTGGTAAATTTCAATGAGACAAATTCAAAGCAAATGTTATTTCTTATTATCAATAAATACATTTGTGCAATGGCATATTTGAAAGAGGGCAAAATTGATCTCTAGTGCCAAAAAGCAAAAATTACAGGGGGTGGGGGTGAGTGATCCTTAAATTCAAAGCAAATGTAAATTTTTCCGAGGAAGAAATTTTCATATTTACCTATACATCATTAAATTTATGTAACTTATAATTTATTTCCATTTGCTGCATTGAATGAATAAAGACTATATGTATTAATATATGTTTTATTTTTCCTCCATAAACTGTCATAAAGTCATACAGAGGGCAACACAATTGATTACTGGTACATTACAAAAAATACTGCTGAATAAACAATCTGTTACAATAAATAGAAATTACAATGTGCTGTAAGTCACAGCTAAAACCGAAATTTAACAAACTCATAGCCGTTTGTCATATAGGAGGAAACATGAGGAATTGTGTAAAAGCAAGAGTCTAACCGCAATGGAAAATAAAAAGACGGATTGTATTTTCGAAACGTTCCTAATGTTTTATGGGTATTTTAACGCCCACAAACCCACATTTTTATTTAATACATTTGAGAATTTGCTTTAATTTTAGCTTTACGATCATTTTTTTTAACTTATAAAACAGATAAACAAGAAACATAGCCAAGCCTCACTTATGCCAATTCTATTCAATTGCCCATCTGAACTGATCCTGACACCCCAGCCTCACTTATATTCTATTCAATTGCCCATCTGTAAATGGATCTTCTGAAGATAAAAATCAGTAAACTAACTGTAGAAACAAATTTGTGTGAAGGGCTGATGAGTTTAGCTGGTTTAATTATTTAACATTGGGTCAGTCTAATGTATAAAACATTGCAGTACTAAGCGTGTGTTCTGGGTTGTCCTTAAGACGTGGGGATGGGGAATTTCTCTGCCTATAATGTCACGACTCCCATTATTCTGGTATTCTACCTCAATCCCATAAAGAACCCCAAACCCCGTTTCTACTTTTTATATGCCCCTTGCTTCTTCAATTCTTGGAGCTAACCCCTGTTATTTCTTTACATCACTTATTTCCATTGCTTCTTGAATATACATTGTACTTTTCCCCATATATTCACATTTTTGAGAAAATGACAAAGTATACAACAACCAATATCCCATCACAGTTCAACTCCACGGGACTGAGATGATGTTAAATCAAACAACAAATATGTATCCTTCATTGTTCTATACAGGTAGATGAATGCCATCTAATAAAATTATAATTATTTGCTTCAGTCTAAAAATTCCTATGCACTGTAATTCATACTTATTCCCATGACTAAATTAGCACTGGACAGAAAACCTAACAACAGTGAATTAGTGACAATCAACACTCATCAAGAAAACATATGGAGTAAAATATGGCTGTCAAATCAGCAGCAGACAATAGTAAACTCTTGTTTATATCGAAAATCTTCATTCTTTTTAACTAGCCTTATTCAAGTCTATATTTAACCTCAATGGACAGTGAGTTGGACATCTTTTCAGCGACAACATCCAACATTTCCAAAAATGGACAAAGCCATATTGCCAAAGTTTGTGACTGGCAGCACGTACTGCAAATCTCGTTAAAAATGTCCTCAAACATTAAAATTAGAAACAAAATTCTAAAAAAGTTAAATGAACAACATACTTTCATTGAATTTAAGGTAAATAAATGGAAGATAAGTCCAGGGCCAGTCTTTATCGGACATATTGTTGAGTAGGCAAAATTTCGTCCATTCGCATTTCCCACTTTTCAGTACAATTTCTCTAAAACTGTGGCATGTAAAAACTTCTTACCTTGCATTTAAGTAAATCTTCTATCGCCTTTAATGCGGAATCCGTTAATTTTACATGGACTACGCTTTTTTGCTCGTTATTTGCTGAAGTGGAAGATAGCCCATACTTTTCACCCTCCACCAGCGTAGCCATTATTGGAGCTCTTCAATGTGCATTTCCCGTAGGGGGCGATTTCAAAATGCGTAATGGTCCACTTCCGGTCTAAATAATCTTAAGAGAAAAATGTGCCTATTACTCGCAACCTATTTGAGCTTGAAGTTTTCCTTACAATTATTACATAAAATCAAACACAAGCTTTTCCATTTAAAGTGAAATAAGCATTTTTATATCGATGTCATAAATTGCATTTTGAGATATCCATCTTGATTGGGTTTCCTGCGACAGAACCAATCGCATCCATGGATATTTTTATGAGAGAGAGAGAGAGAGAGAAAGAGAGAGAGAGATTTCAGTGCGATATTATAGCTGAGTGTCCTATTTTTTTGTTGTTGTTCACATTATTTTAATCAGCTCAATATGCACTACATATTATCGTATGCTTGTACGTTATATCTTTTTAGTGTTTGGATAAAAATAAACTTATAGTGCATGCATCTAATCATGCATTATTCTTATTCTTAAAAAAAAAAGCTTTCTCTCATAAATTTAGAAAATTTATGCTTCTGAAATATTATGTACTAGCATAACAATAATTTAAAAAAAAATATCTTACATGTGTAGACTGAGTTAAATATATATTCAATATAAAAGTACTCAAAATGTAAAATAACGTTATAAAAACCGTTACGATCAAATTACCGGTGTTGACAATTACACGAATTGTTTGAGGAAGTACTGAATACCTGTGTCTCCAAAACTTTTACAGGTGTGCACGCGTTCTCTGCATTTCTCTATATTTGACAGCACGTACCGGTTATAATCATATAATTGCTACAGGCAGGTACAAAACGAGCCTAACATGTGTGATCACATTTATGTAACTACACACGGTTATACTGGGGGGTTACATGTTACTACTTACAAGATAAGAAATATATTAACAGATTAAGTCATTCCTCGGTGTAGTGACAGTCCAACAGCCTGCAATAGACTAAGTATACTTCTAATCCAGAAAAAAGGGTTTTTGTGTCTTGATTCGGTAGGTTTTTTAAATAGTATTCGACTAAAATTTTTTAATTACACAAGGCCTTCAAACAAATAAATAAGCTGAAACAAGAAAATATAGTGCAAACTCCCCCCCCCCCCCTTCCCCCTTTAAAAAAAAACGCACTCAGAATCGGACCAATGAAGGAAGGGGGATAACTCCAACAATGCTAATTATGCATTTCACCCCACAGACTGACGTTTCCTCAAGACTTTCAAACAAGTATCTCAACCACACCTCATATATCCAGAGTTGTATTTTTGTTTGTTATCAAGGTTATTTTTCTCTTCTTTTCTTATTTTTTTTTTTTAAATATTTCATGGTGTGTGTGTGTGGGGGTGGGGGGGGTGGGGGGGGGGGGTTTGGGTTACATCTATATTTTGGTGAACGTGCTTTCCTTCGAAAGAGTCGTAGATCGAATTCTATTTTCAAAGAACGACCTCTATCATATACGGGGGAAAAATAAAATTTTCATGATATTACTAAGCTGGCAGCTGTGATAAAAATGAACCTCTTTACTCTCAATTTTTATGTACACTGGTTTGTTTATATGTAACATTTTTAAATTGTATTTTTTCTTTATGTCCAAAAACGTACTAGATATGTCAAATTGAGCATAAAATGTGGCTCAGATGTGCATAAGTAGTCCATAGACCTCTCAGTGGCTCTAGTAAAAAAAAAAAAGCCAAATTGATCTCCTCACTAGGACAAGGAATTGAAAAACCTTATTGCATATTCAGAGTACACCATCCGGCAATCATTTGCACAAAAAATGAATTGACCATTTTGTAAATAGGCGTTTTCTGACGAAGATTTTTGTAGGAATAATTGGGGTTATATTCCTATCCACAATGAGCACCAGGAAAGACAAGATGTGTTTGTAAAACACTGATGCCCCCGTATGGCAGCTTTTGCTGAAGTAAAGTTCAAATGTGAATCAAACTCCAAAGTCAAGAACTGAAAAACCCAAAGAAAGGACTTGTCTCGTTGAATATACCCGTGAAATATGACAGCTCGTCCACTAATCATTCAAAGGATATGGCCAATGTTATTTTATTTCTTGTGCAAATATGGTTCAATTCGAAGGGTAAATGATTAAAGTAAAGGTACCCAGGGGAAGGGCTTAAATTGTCACAAAATACACATGCAAAATAAGTCTCTGCACCGGTCAGAGTCAGTTATGACCAAAGTGATTGTTTTACAAAAGTAAATCAAATTCAAAGGTCAAGGACTAAAGGACAAAATTCTAGTCAAAAGTTCTAGTCAAAAGTTATGCCAAAGGTCAACGTTTTTCAAGAGTGGGTCAAATTCAAAGATCAAGGTCAAAAATAGTTAAATCCATTAAAAGGTCTTATGACAATGAATACACTGTAAAAATTGCGTTTAGGATTTAAACACTTCCATGACGTGTTTAGATCTAAACATGTATAGAAATATGTTTAACAACTTAACACTTATGTCTAAACATGTTTTATATCTGAACGTGTTTAGAAATTAAACACCTTCTGATGTAAAGTACAGAGTTATCTTCCCGGAAATGACACAAAATACTCGTATATTTGAACGTTAATTTGAGCGGCCATCGAAACAAAGCAAATCACAAAAAGCTTATGTGACGTATCAAGGAGAATTACTGACAACCCACAGGATAACCATGAAGAAATATTGAAAATCATTTGAAAGGCACCTTCATACTGTATTATATCAAAGGTATGTTTCCTTTTTCTACAGATTTACATTTATAAACGACGATGAGAAATGTAAACAGTGACTTGGGGTAGTTAATAAACTTGTAGGAGAGGAGTTAATATTGCTTTTCATTAAAAATAACCATTTTAATATCAGTATAGTTTCAATACATCTTGAAAAATTGATGTCAACTTCAGTGGGCAGCGTACGATACTTTCGCTTAAATCTGACTTTCTTTCATACAGGTTTTGTGAATAGTCCAGATCGAACTTAAAGCATGTTTCAAGTACATGTACCCGGCGTCATCTTCAAGTGCAAATTGTTCTTCCATGATCCACGCTAAGAAACGTATTCTTATGAAGTGCATTGGATTACCCCTAATTCGGCAATGTTCGACAGTTTTGAATACATGTACCTTAAATAATTCTTGTGCATTTGAAATGGATTACTTTTCGGCAGTTACTGATGGGATATTATATATCATGTGGTGCTATGTGGTGCTTTATGACTGCTGAAAGTTAATCAAGTTTGATATTTTGGTGAACGACATATGGTAAACTCTGCAACCAATTGAAACTGTAATTAATCAAAATTATGTATAAAAAATAAACATTATGTAATTTTAATTTAAATATCTTTAATAAAGCATTTAAAAAAGATTCAGTGAATTTTTATCTAAAATTGCCAGCTTATTTTTTTTTGACAATAATATTATGTGTTCTTTGTGTCAAAATTTACAGATGTTTATAGTTTTTTCTGCAGGTACACTTGTTTTAATGTGTCAAATCTAGATATGTTTATTTTCTAAGCACAGGGGGGGGGAAATGTGTTTAGAATCTATACACTTTTTAAGCCTTTTTTGTCACCTTCTTTTTTATATGTTTAATTCCTAAACATGTAAAATTTCTAAACATGTATGAGAAAGTGTTTAGTATCTAAACACGTATGTGCTTCGATTCTAAACACTTTCTCAAATGTGTTTAGAAATTGAACATGTTTAGGATTTAAACGTATAAAAAAGAAGGTGACAAAAAAGTGTTTAGAAAAGTGTTTGGATTCTAAACACATTTCTTACAGTGTATACATGTGAAGCAAGAAAGCCCAAGCCCTAACTGTTCAAAAGTTATGGCTAAGGCTAATTTTTGGTACATCTTTATTGCTAGCGCTCTCGAGCCATATTCCTGGAATACGCATGCTCGGCTTCACGCGGTCGGGCATTCTGGGAAAACTTCACGGTCTAGCTGTGAAAACTACTATAGATAGACTGTACGATAACAATTTCGTTGTGTCATTAGATTATACTGGCCTTTTTCTGTTTGATTCTGGAGTTTATCAATTTATTGTGTAACTTATACTTTCAAACTAAATACACAACAAAAACTTAGGTCGAATAATGCCAAGATTCTAGACATATCTAGCTTGCGAGTTATACCACCTTCCTGGATAATATGTCAACAACTAATAATGAAGGTTTCATTTTTCGAAACAAAATCAACAATAAAATTGTGAGCACGTCCATATAAAAAAACCACAGCTTTACAATCAATGCCATCAAGCGGTTTAATATATGTGTTCAAACTCAATGTCATAGTTAATCATAAATCAAAAAAATATTATACATGCAGATTTACAATTTGTTGGAATAGAGATTATTCTGCGTTTTCATGAATTCCGTTTTCTCCCTCCTGTAACATCTAAATACCCCAAAACAGAACAAACCCAACACCATTATTCCTAACATTGACCCAAAGATGATGGCTAAGTCGTGGTCAAAACTGTCTGAGGTATCCTTGCTGGACACTGCTACTTGAATTGTAGTTTGTCTTGTTGTCACTGTTGAGTGTTTACTGGGCGTCAAAGTATGTAATAAACCTGTTGTTTTTCTTGTTGTTGTTGGTGCCGATGAGGTTGTTGTTTTCGCCCGTACTGTTCTCAATGACGAAGTTACGGTTGCTTCTGTGGTCTGTGATTGTCTCAAAGATGTTTTCATTTGAACTGTTCTTGATTCCTTTGCTCCCGTTGAAGACCTGAATACATCCTGTACTGTGGTATCTGGGGACCTCTCACTTGATGCCACAATTGCCGTTTTTTCATAAACTTGCAAGGTAGGTAATGTTGCAGTTGCTAGAGATATTGAAATGATACCAGTATATTCATATGTACTGGAATTGTGTGGCTAGCAACGTCAGTGCTTTTTGCTATGGACGATGGAACTGATGTTTTACAGTTGATAACCTGACAAAAGACAAAAGTTATCAAGTTATGATAAGAATTTTGTATTCTAAATGCATTAATTCAGCAAAGAAAACAAGTTATTCTGAGTATAAATAATAATACATGTACCATGTGTATGATTATTATTTCTTATATCTTTAGAAAACTATTTTTTGTGTGAGCAAAGTCCTTTGAGTCACCTTGTCATGCGGAGTTCCCGAGTCCTCCGCTGACCTCTTTCCAATGATGTGGCCCTCACCTGGATGGGTCACTGAGGGATGACAAGGGTCACGGACACTTTGAGCCTACAGAAGAGTAATCACCAGTGTATAAGATGACGATCATAGAACACCTAAGACAACACTAAAAATGAACTCCCTAAGACCAATTGAGACTGTTTTTTCTTCATTCACACAAATTTCAAATACAATCACAATTATATACAAGAAGGAAAACAATTGTGTGAAAGAATTTTTAAGAGATTAAGGAAAAAATGGAAGAGGAGAGGAGAAATAGGGGGAAGAAAGAGGGGTGAAAAAGAATGGACAATTAATGAACTTTTTAAAAAAAACTGTTCATAAATAAGGTTTTTGAGTTATTAGAATTTTTTAACAATTTCACTGTAAAAAATGTGCTTAGGAAATAAACACTACCATTACATGTTTAATATTATGTTTACCAACTAAACACTTCGGTCTAAAGTATTTAATACCTAAACATGTTTAGAAATTAAACACGTGTTTCATTCTTCAGTCAGTGAAATACGGAGTTGTCTTCCCGGAAATGATCGAGATATATTCAAACATGAATTAGCGCGGTTGTCGAACAAAGAAAATCACAGCATTAAGAGAAAACCGTTTATCCTATCAAAATGATAGAAATTCAAGATACAACTGTTGCAGATTAAGTGAAATACACGAGGGATGCTTCTTGAAAACTGTGATTTAGAAGGTTTGTATGATTTTATTTACACAAATTGAGCTTGACGAGAGAGGTAAACAATGTCAACAGTATTTGTTTATCATAGGATCTTGCATTCTTTACTTAAAGATACATGTACAAAATTAATGTACACCATTATTAATTGATACCGTTTTACTATTCATAATGTTATAAAATAATGGATATGTTTATGGACGATAACTTTCAACGAAGAGCAAATATGTATCATATTATTATTAAAATACGATTAGTTTGTTGCATGTGTCCTCTACACACAAAGATATCTTGGATACAATAAATAGAATGTTTTTACATAAAACCTAATTAATAATTGAAAATTATTTTATTTATTATAGAGAAAATGATGGAGAAGTTGAAAAAAGACTTTTAACCACACAGAGAAAACATATACCTCCAGCAGAAAGGCTTGGGGCCAAAGAATCACTGGATTTGATCATTGATACATATGCAAGGTAAATTAATGCAACTTGTACTTTATTTGATTGTGTCTAAGTTGTTTGTTATCTATCTATTACATGCATATGTTAGAGGATTCTTCAGCCTTCCTCCCCCATGAACTGTTTCCTTCTTTCGTGTTAAGACTGAAATTTCTGTCCATTATATTTGTTTTGTTTGTATATTTTTTTTTATTTTACTATAATTATTTTTTGCAGAAAAAAAAACAACATTTTACTAAATGCAAGAAACGTAAGGATCCAGCCAAGTTGATGATCATCACAGAGGAAAGAATAGCATTATTGGAAGAGGACTGGAGATAATTTTTTGAACTCGTGAACCGGGCCTTTGTTGTGTTACTAAGCTCGGGACTTGAGATATCCCAAATACTTTCAAATTCTGGACGGTTTACGATTTGTATCTCGATGACATAGAAAACAAATAAGTGAAAAAAAACCTAAAAGACAAAAGACTTTGAAAACTGAAATACGTATTTCGGAGGTTTTGTGGCATACTGTATTGGATGTATGAGTTTGTTAAAAAATGACTTTTTATTCTTAGATGGATAAAATGTTAAACATTTTAATTTAATTTTCTAATAAACTAATAATAAAAATAAAATCAATCTGGAGTTCTTTGTAATTTGTATAGAGATAACTACGTTGTTTATTATAGGATCGTTATATTATAAGTGTACCATATTTGGATAATTATTCTTTAATTTTGATTGCATTTTATCATGTTTAATAGTTTAACGTATTTAAATTCTAAACACGTTTAGGCCGTAAATGCGAGCTTCAACATGCATATGTTTAGAAATTAAACGGATACCTAAATATGTTTAGAAAATAAATGTGTTTAAGTACTAAACATGTTAAAAATCTGTCTACAAGAATAGTGTTTAGAAAAATGTTGAGACTCTAAACACATTTTTTACAGTGTTCCTGCCAGTGCTTTGTAAATTCCTCAACAGTTTGAGATTGTTACTTACTATAACACTATTCACAAGTTTTCAAGCATTCTTTAGAGTCTCCTATAACCTTAGAAATGTTCTTCTATAGCTCTGGGATGATGTTACAAATTAAGATGATGTAACATCAATATCCAGCAATAATTGTATTTCAAGAAATTAATCAGATTGATAAAGAAAATAATTTCAATCAAATTTATTTTTTCAAATTTTCAAAATTTTCAAATTATGTTCCACGATTCTTCATTTCTTTATAAAAATCTTACAGTTCTGTTCATGGTTAGACAAAACTTCTCAATACCGAAACTAAAAATGTAGGGTGAACATTGTTCACAATAAGCTTGAGAACTTAGCATTTGTTGGTGCGTACATGTATTTTTAATCAATTTGGTCAATAATATAATGTAAGACAACTCTTTCACAAGACAGAAAGAATAGAATAAAAAACTCTCATTCAATAAAATTTATTATGAGTAGTGTATCGTTACTTACATTGGAGAAGGAGTTGGTTATTGAAACAGACAAAACAAGAAAGAATTGGAGCACACGGACAGCCATCACACCAACAAAATCTTTCTCATCCATTCCTCATTGCTAAAAATACTATGTCTTATCAAAACGATGATATTATCCGGAAAAATAAACCGTATATATACGCCAGGTAAAAAAGGTCTTCCTTTGGCTTTCCTATATCAGGATTCCAAAGTTGTTAAGTTGTTGCCAACTAGTTTGGAAAAGGTTTAAAACTTTTAAAAGACATTTTTTATTCTTATCTTATCAAATGGTATAGGCTTTTTACAATTACTGTTTTTCCTTTAATTTGATAGTGAATGCAATAGGGATAGCGAGGATCCTTGTTTAAAAACACAACATTCTGCGTTAATACATTTTCTTCCTTGGTGCGTAATTTCGGCTCCACTTGGTTCCACTGAGTATATGGATTTATGTCTTCTTGAAGGATGTGAGGCAAGGACCTTACTATAAAGAGAATTGCACGATGTTGAAGGACGATTTTATTTGCAAATTTGAATTGGAAAATTGTATCTACTATAATACTCTATCCCTGATCTCTCAGGTGTTTGCGAGGACAAACCCTAATTTTTTGTATTTCATTTGATTTTTTCTAGTTTGTGTAAAGTAACTATCAGTAACTGTAATCATTACCATGATTACAGGTGTTTCAAACTTTCAGTGCAGCCTTATTGGAGCTGATCCAATTCACTTGGGTAACGAATATAACTAATTTAATTAGTATTACATGTTACAACAAAAGACAACATCACAAACAGTATATTACAATTTAACTGAATTCTTGTATATTGTGAAACATAAACGTATTTTTATTATTATTATACTATGTTTAAAATTTATGAAAATTTGAATAGAAAAGTCAATTCAAGCATCTGATTTTAAAACTACAGGTATATCGTTTCCAGAACATAAAAATAAAGTTTGCTATGAAAAGTAGATGTATGATTTGTCTTTAATTTCATGATATGGTACAAAAACTTTATAGAAGTGTCCATGCCTATGAATGTTATTTGGCCACTCTATAAAGTATTTGCAGTTTGTTTCTTTCTCCAAAAATATGTGTAAATGGGATGAAAATGAACATATTTTCAATTTCAATTATTTTTTATGAGATGAGATTTTGGTCAATATTGATCAAAGGTCATATCAATAAAATTTTTATTTAAGTAAAATCTCAGATCCTTTTGGAAATATTTAAAGTAGTCAAATTTAGTTTTTGTTGAAGATTGAAAATATTGCTTTGCTATGAAGTACGAGGGGTGATCAAAAAGTTTGCAAACTATCTCTATATCTACAAAACCACAATTCAGATTAGAATGAAATTCGATACACACATAGCCATACACAAGGTCTATAGATAGCATATGCTTAATAAAGTTTCTCTCCTTGTTTGTGACGTCACAATGTGAAAATGAAGTCACTATTTAGTTCACTTGTGACGAAAAATGGTTGTCTCAGTCGAACTCGTTCAACAAACGACTGTACAATTTATTGTAATATCTTAGAAATCCCTCTACAGTATCATATAATAATTTGTACACAGTTTATTGAGATAAATGAGTTCCTATAAATTCAATTAATGATTGGATTAATCGTTTTAGTGAAGGAAGGCTGATGGTTAAAAATGATACTTGTCATCTTGCCCAGTGAAAGCAAGTTTGAAAAGATATGTATTTTTAATTAAGAAATTTGCTATCAAAGACCTCCAATTAGCACTTTGAAAAATAGTTGAATATTTGAACAATGATATAAGTATTTTAAAAATACCTAAGATATCGTTTACTTTAGATTTTAAACATCTTAGATATGATAAAAAGGATGCACCCATTCTCTATCCACCTTGAATAAAGGTCTCTCCTGAGACAGAAGATTTGTTTTAATGGTCGCCATGCTTAGTTTTGGAAAGGATGTTATTATCCACCCATTCTGTTGCCGAGATATGACCATTTCTGACAAATTAACTGTTCTTGTCATAAAATTAACTCACATGGAAAGAAATATAAAACTCGGAAAAATCTTTTAACTTTTGTGACAGAACGCTACGGAGGGGGTCACGTGTCCGCCAATATCACGTGATTCGCGCATGCGCAGAACGGTGGTTGATGTGCATTAAAATCAGGGAGGATTAATTTAAAATATAATCAACATTAAAACCAAATATTGTTTCTTGTATGGAAGTTATTCAATTAGTTTGCGAACTTTTTGATCACCCCTTGTATAATCCATTTTCAAAGCTAATACTTTGTCCACTTTCAAAGCTGATACTTAAAGTGCATTTAAATATTGTATGTGGTATTTGATTCCATATTTCTTAATCTTTAATTATTAAACATGTTTTCAACACATAAATAGTAAAGTGGATAAGATCCTACTTAAGCATTGACTGCTAAATTTGATGTCTTTCTACGAACACCTAAAATATCTTTGAGAATATTATTTTGATTTTTTTTTCAAATGGGAAACGTTCTGAGGATATGTAACATCTAATCAATAGTCTGTGATCCATATTTCAGACCCATATGTTATAACTGGAACAATCATTGAGTATACAGAAGGTGGGATTCTTTGACAATCTATGAAGCCACGAACTGATTTTGAAATTACGTGCATATAATTTTCAAACAGTTGTAAGGGGTATTGAGCGGTAAACGTGCACGTTTGATATTGAAAGTTGGTAAGAGGTAGTAGGGCTGGGGCGATACAACTTTTTCTATATCGATACGGATCACGATTTTTGAGCCATGAAACGATATGTATCACGATATATTTAATTGCTTATAAAATCTTTTTTTTGCATTGAAGTAAACAAATTATTTCTTTGCAAATAAGAATAATTTATGGAAAAAAGTTCTTTATATATTTTAAAAAGAAAATATTTGATTCAAGTTGTGTTAATTATTATTTATTTCATATATTTAATTATATTTAGCTTATTTATTTTATGTATTAAACCCCAAATGTTAAATAAACAAAGAACAAGATGTGTTTGTGAAACATTGATGCCCCCGTATGGCAACATAGCGAAGATGAAGCTTTCTCAAATGCAGATCAAATATGTTGATACCAAAGTAAGACCTTTTCACAAGAAATGCGAAATAAAAAACGCTACACCTGTTTCAGGGTTATGACCAAGGTTGACATTTTATTATATAGGATAAACTCCGGGTCAAGGTCAAAGGGTCAAGGTTGTTGGGTTCTAAAGAAAGGCCTTGTCTCAAAGATTACGTATGGGAAGTATGAAAGCGCTGGCCCTTACCGTTCAAAAGTTATGGCCAAGGTTAAAGTTTGTAAAAAGTAGGTCAAACTCTAAGATCAAGGTCAAAGGGTCAAGATTCTTGATATCCAGTGAAACGACTTATCACAAGGATTACACATGTGAAATATGAAAGCTCTAGCCCCTACTGTTCAAAAGTTATGATCAAGGTTAAAGATTGTAAAAAGTCAAACTCCAAGATCAACGTCAAAGAGTCAAGATTCTTGTTATCAAATGAAAGGTCTTGTCACAAGAATTAAATTTGTGAAGTATGAATGCCCTAGTTCAATCCCTTCAAAAATTATGGTCAATGTTGTAATTTTAATATAGGTCAAACTCCAAGGTCAAGGTGTCAAGGTTCTTGGTATCCAATAAAAGGTCTTTTCATCAGGATTATATATGTGAAGTATAAAAACCCTAGTACTTAATGTTCAAAAGTTATAGCCAAGGTTAATTTTTTTTCATAGATACGAAAATCTCCAAGGTTAAGGTCAAGAGGACAAGTTTGTTGGCATCCAATGAAAGGTCTTTCCACAAAATATATATACTAATCAAAATTTCTAAGTCCCCACGTAAGTTTTTGTTTTACACTGCTTTTATATTAAATAATTCAGACAATATAAATTGAAAACTATACAGGATAAAAAGAAGCAAAATATATTTTTTTCACTTAATCTAATTATATTGAAGGACTTTAACACAAAATGCAGAAGAGTGAAGGCACCCTAGAATTAAAAATTCGCAACGTTCAATACTGTTTTTATCCTCCGTGCAAACGAATTAAGATCAAGATAATTGCTTCTCAAAGAGTTCACACAATTAACGAAAAATCTTTATGGAAGATTATTCCATGTAAGGACTAGGTCGTCCTCTATATTTCCGCCAGATTCTGCTGCTGGAAAAGCGCTCAATCTCTGGTATCTTGTCCCGTTCATGTTCTAAATGGTTGAGATGTGAATGACATTGAATCTTACCAAAATTGTTTGTACCCAATATTAATCCTAAACTACATAAGGTCTTCTTAAACGCATTCCCCACTCTTCCAGTTTGTGTCTAATAATTTGGATAAATAAGGAGACTTGAATTAATTTTTAATGAATGCAGAGCAATTGCACGTGCAGATAGGTTCCTTTCACAATAGTTAGTAATTCGTATGTAGTAGCCCTGTTGATGTGTCGTTGCAGTACGTGTATACGCCTTGACCATGGGCACTTCCGGTTCCGGTTTGAGTGAATTTCCGGTTAGACTCTAGGGTGGTTAAGTGGTATTTCTTGAAAATCTTGCAATTTTGAATGATTATAAGGAATACAAGTAAGCTTTGTGCATCTTCCTGGCGGTATTTTTAACGGTTTTACATAAAATAAACAAATAAAAACGAAGGAAATACAACTTTACTTTACTACCACCAGCTTGGACCATGGCACCTTCACTTGCACATTGTCGTTCGTACATACACAGCATTTTAAACAAGCTTTTTTCTGTTTTTCCTAAACAACTAAAGATGGAGAACACATGGCAATTTAAATAAATGGAAGATACACTCTAAAACATATGAAACTCGCACTTCATGCTTTTTAACAAAAAGGGTCATGGCTGAGTAATTACACATTCGATTTCAATTTTTCTTGGCCGTAACAGGCAATCATCGAAAAATTAAGTCAAAATTGTGATCAACTAGTTAATTAATGTTAAGATTTTTAAATACTTAAAATAATAAAAGTGGGGACTTAGAAATTTTGACAAGTATATATATCAAATATAAATGTCCTGGTATCTATTGTTCAAAAGATATTGCCAAAGTAAAAGTTCAAAATTTTTGTATTAAAGTGGGTTAAACTCCAAGGTCAAGTTCAAAAGGTCAAATTTGGTGGTACCCAAAGAAAGGTCTTGTCACAAAGAATACACCTGTGAAATATGAAAGTCATAGCTCCATTAAATCAAAAGTTATAGGCAAGGTTAAAATTTTTGCGGACAAACAGACAGACGGACAGACAGAGAGACAGACGGACAGCTAGACAGACAGACGGACGGACACGACAAAACTATATACCCCCGAAACTTCGGTAACGGGGGCATAAAAACAGAAGTCAAATTTTTTTGCACGATATTTCGATATTTCTTCATATGTATCGATATGCGTATCGTCCTCACAGATATCAAGATATATCGATATTTCGATATATCGTCCCAGCCCTAAGAGGTAGTAATTGATCTATGTAAGTGTATACTTTGAAATATGTCTCGTATAAAGGTTTTCAAGGACAAACTCCAATCTAAAGCAAAATCTCCAATTACATGTATTGCACAATTTCAGTAAGCATTATCCATAAATGTCCACTTTGTTCTTTTTATAATTTAACATGTACTTTGTATTATATACATGTAATAAACTCTCTTTACTTATTTAAAAAAGTATAAATTCATTAAGGAAATAATGTCATGTAAGAACATACAATTTTTACAAACATTTTCAATCGTTTTACAGAAACTATGTTGTTATTTACATAAAGCTTACAAAAACATACATAAATGGTGACAACTTCTTCCAAAACATTCTTAATTTTTCTAAAAAAAAGTTTTCGTATCGAAACCTTTCCAAGAATGACGAAAAATCAAGTGCTTTTCTGCTGGTCCACTAAGCGTTTCATATCTTTGCATCCGGCATTCACATCACATCAGAAAATGCATGGTCATTCTCACAAGTAGATGCTACACCTTTATTAGAATTTAGACATTTTGATGGAGATGTCACCCCCACCCTCCATGTATGATTCTTCCTTGTCTTTCTTGTAACAGCGGTAAACACAGAAGATGAATATAGCCAGGATCATCAACCCTAGCATCACACCAAATATAATGGCGAGTTCGTGGTCGTAGTTAGCAGACGAACTCCTAGCCGGGGTACCAGGCTTTGGAGGTACAGATGAATGAACAGGTGTTGTGGATGACATAGGATGGTGTACGTTTGATCCAGTCGAACTCGGATTTGTTGACAGTGAGCTTGTTACATATACTGCTGTGCTCTCAGATGAGGAAATTCCATTGCTATTTATTGTCGTATTTTCTGTAGTTGCTGCTATTGTTTGCGTTGTTGAAGATGCTGTTGTTGATGCTGCTTTTATTGTAGATGGAGTTGATGATGGTTTTGCTGATATATTTTGTGATGTTGTAGCTTGAATTGTTGTATTTTTTGTTGTTGTTGAAGTTAGTGCTGAATTGGTTATATTTTGTTTAGTATTTGTAGTTTGTATTTTAGTTTGAGTTGCCGTTGTAGATGGTGTTGTTGCTGAACTTGTTGTTTGTGATGTTGTTTTTGTTGTTTGTGATGTTGTTGTTTGTGGTGTTGTTTTTGTTGTTGTTTGTGGTGTTGTTTTTGTTGTTTGTGGTGTTGTTTTTGTTGTTTGTGGTGTTGTTTTTGTTGTTAGTGGTGGTGTTTTTGTTGATTTCATTGTTGAGCTTGTTAAAGTTTTTGTTGGCGATGTATTTGTTCTCGGGGATGGAGAATTAACTGTTGACGTTTTTGTGGTTAATGTATTTGTTCTTGAATTTGTTGTAGATGGCTTTTTTGTTGATGGGTTTTCAGTTGTTGGTGGTGTGGTTGTTGTTGGAAACGTTGTTGGTGTACTGTCGTCTACTGCTGTGTTTTCTGATGATGTCGAATTGTTTGTTAAAAGTGGTGTTGTTGTCAAGATAGCTCTTTTTTTAACTTCTGTGCCATCAATGAACTGTAATAAAATAGAAATTACATGTATACACCAATAAGTTGAGTCCATTTTGAAACGTCATTCTGAATACTTAATTGAAATATTATGCCAAAATCGAAGAGATGGCAAATACGCATGTCAAAGGCAACTTTCTGCATACTACTTTTGGGAAAATAAAATGTTAAGGTATATCACTCGTCAGCTTTTTAGAAAAGTTCATGCAGACCCTCTTACTTCAAAACTATAATTTAATATTCAAATTATAACATATTTTAATTCAACAATGTCAATATTTTAACATTGAACGAAAAAGCTGCTCAAAAACTACTAAAAAGCAAGATTTATGAGGAACTATTTCTTGTGGTGGAAGAATATTTAGCAGATAATTCTGCAAATCTGCACATTTATTAAATCTAATATCCTGGAACTTTAACCTCATATACTTTACTTGGAGAAAATCTTCCATTATAATATTGCTAGGAATATTTGATATAGGTCTTAATTCATATTTTTAGAACAAGTGTTACACCTTCTTTCCACAAACTTTGCCAAAAAATAAAGATATGTCAAATAAGTCAAGGTAAAATTTGCATCATTTTTCGCCTGAAAATCACATATTTTGAACTAATATTTCGAAATTAACATCACTAACCCCAACTTTTTCTTTCATTATTTTAAACTACTCGATACTTTTGACTGATCAGGACTTAAGTCGTAAAAAGTTTGATACAAAAGAAATTATTGCTTATTTAGATTTTTAATACCCCAAATATGTTACTTTTTAGTGCAAAAAGGTCACACAATAATTTACTCGCATTAATTTGCAAGATTTGTTCAATGATAAATATTATTCAAACTATTTTACGTAAAATAAAATTGTATTTATTGCCATGGTTACATCTGATAAAATATTATAAAGGTTAAAGTAATTAACCAAAGAGTTTAAATCTAAGTGCAAAAAGGTCAACTTAATTGTACCGTAGATCAGTAAGATGCACACTGACCCCCCCTATTTTCTCTGCGATTTTGAGTCACACTTTATATGAGTACTTATCTAAAATATACTACTAAAAAAATCCTTGATTTAACAAATTTCACGAGTGACATACCTTAAGTATACTTTGTATAAAAAAATTTAATATACAATCTTAGCTAATGAAAATTTAAATACTGCAGCAGTTGTCAGGTTGTATGAAATCACTGAAAATGGCAAAGTGCAAATTACCATTAATCGTAGAACACTAGAACACAGGGAAAAAAATCTCACTCTTTAAAATTATCTAGGCATAAACTAATTTTTTAATTTTCGAAATAAAAAAAAAATGCTCCTGAAAATAAGAATGCAAATCATGACAAGGCGCCGGCCAATGGCCTTGTCCATGTATCTACTTGTACACGTAACTTTTCTGATATACATACGCACTTGGTTTCAGGTCTGATAGTGTATTTTGTGAATGATCTCACTTTTGGGCGTTTTTTTTTTTTTTTTTTTTTGGTCTGCCTTAGGACACTCATTAAAAATGAAAATGAAGTTCCTGAAATTTTTATTTTTTTTTAAAGATACAAAAATATGTTATCTCTAAACATTGCCAATTTCTGCGATTTTTTTTTTATTTTATGAGTGCATTTAGACAGAATAAAAAAACTCACAATGCACAAAATGCATTATCCTGAAACCATGCAGGCACATATTGTCTTCATTAAGGGTCCACTTACATGTAGGTAAAACATTTTTTAAAAATTTATTTCAAATGAAGGGTCAATTTAGAGTTAATATCATACAGTCCTTTCAGCTAAACATACCCCGTACCAATATACAAGATGTTATACATGTGGATCAATGTATACATGCTTTTGATATACAATAGGGGGATATACGTTTAACATGGTAACATATAGTCCGTTATAACTTACCCTAGGGATGGTTAGACCAAATACACAGAGAGGTACAATAAAAACAGAAAATTTCATGGTGAATTCCATCTACTAATAAACCTCTGATCAGTACTACTGTGTTAGCATGATTGAGTCACTCTGATCAGATAACGACAAAGGCAGTCTTATCAGAAGGCAAGTTAGAGATATAACATAGAAGGAAGGGGGTGTGTCACTGTTTAAAAAAAATAACCTCAGTAATAGTCCACATATTTGCTTCCATCATTTATATTTGATTTAGATTTGAATTTTATTACTGATGAAGTGATTCCATTTTTACTAAGTCAGAATTAATTTCTGCTTAATACATCCTTCAAAACCCTTACGTAATAGGTTAACTACCTGATATAATTTTAATGTAATTTATCTGAGATGTCTTAGCACCCAAAAATTGTTTGAAACTACATTTTCCCTGTTGTTACCTAAATAGTCATGTATTTATATAGTAAATAGGGAAAGGTATTTATATCACTTTCTTCATTTTATGTGATTTTTCAAATCTATACATTGTAAATTTCCTTATTGATAACACAATATAGGGAAAGTCGACATAACTTTTCAGCAATATGAAGAAAAGAATAAAATATCAGATAAAATGCAGTAGAACTTTTATTATCATGTCTACACAAGTTGTTGTAAACACTTCTTTATACAGACATTATGTTCACTCTGTGTAATTTCTCATGAATAAAATTGGTAAAAATGCAGCAGTTGTTTAAACTTAATTGGTCCTTTCTATTTCTGCCATTCTCTTTAAGAACACTTGTAGATCAGTGCGGTGTTTCATCAGATATTGTCCGTTCAGATGGAACACGGGGATATCATATCTATACTTCTTATACCATTCCTTGTTTTCTGGCAATGTTATGTCCACTTTCTCCAGTTCAAACTGAAAAGAAAATTTTAAAATACTGAAGAAGTGTGAAGTTAAAAGTATGTACAGTAAACGCATGATGTACGACTTGAATTACGCTATACACCGTACTTTGTTTCACAACTATTTGACAACTGCATTTCTACAACCCTCTGTGAGCTACTGATAAATGCACTATTATTATGTTCCCCGAACGAAGTTGGGGAACATATTGTTTTACTCTGTTTCTTATTATTATTATTATTAAGGTCTTCCGTCTCCAACGGAAGACCTTATTGTTTTCGTTCGGTTTCTTTTTCCCTATTATTATTATTTTTCTTACCGATTTTGTGCACGCGATTTCTCAGAAACGGCTGGACCGATTTTCACCAAACTTTCAGATCTGATGGATATTTATCTGAACCTTGTCGGAAATTTTTTATAAGTACGTCGTCACTTCCGGTCGTGATATATGGACAATTTACTGATTTTTAGAGGGTCAGCTTGTCCTGAGATCTCCTCCTAAACGACTTAAGATACCGACTTGAGATTTTCAGTGAAGGTAGAGGAAGGATAGTAGATGTGACATTTTGCATATAGAGCTTTCCAGGTAAAAAGGCATCGACGCTCGCCTGGGCTCGAAAAATAGGCTCATATGCATCTCGCAAAAATTGATACGTTTTCTTTTATATCTTTTTACCTGTTAATATTTTGTTAAGACATATATAATAAAAAATGTGCAATATAGTAAGACCTTTCATTTGATATCAAGTAAACGGGGTTAGCCCTTCAAATTAGGGGCATAGAGGGGCCAAAAGTCTCTCGTCTTTAACTTTTTAATGGTCAATATTTTGTGATACATTACTGTAGCAAAGATATTCAACTTAACAATTTGCAACAATATATACTAAAAATTTGATCATATGTTACGTAATAAAGGGTCACAGGGGGCTAGAATGCTAAATCTTTGACGCTTTATATCTCGAAAAGCGTGAATATTTTGATAAGCAATATTGAACAAAAGATGGTCAAAATAATGTTCCCAACAATATGCATACTTCTAATTTTTTATTTCATTTTTTTTCCGTTGACACTTCCGTTATAAACAGGAAGTAGTTTAAATATAGCGATTTCTTTTCACATTTTCTAATGAATGTAATTGTTCGTTATCAAGATTTAAAGAATGCATACCATCTTAATATTTCGACCGGAAGGACGGCTCGTAAAAGCCGGAAGTTGTCTTAAAATGAGTATTTTCCATCGAAACTTTCAGGGATGATTACTGCATGCTTGATGTAGAGTTGAAAGTTGTTTTGAGCACAAACGGTCGAACCGGAAATGAATAAGAAGAACCGGAAGTTGATTAGAATTGATTGATCCTACATTTTTTGTGTTTCTAAACATATTTTGAAGAATTCTTGTGCTTTTTTGACAATGTAATTATCCCAACACAGGTCTTATTTCATCAGATAAAGGACGGAAGACCTACTCGTTGCTCGCAACGAGATCGCATCTAGTTATTATTATTTTTCTTCTCGGGAAAATTTTGTCCGCGAGTGATCTTGTAAACTACACATCCGATTTAGGTGAAATGTTTTTAGGGTCAGTAGACATGTTACATGTATGTAGATTTGCGGAACGAAGGTCATTTTGCGCGCACGTGCTTGCAAGAGCGTGCACGTGCAACACGTGAAATGACCGATTTAATTAATATAGGCGTAACTTTTTACATTTTTGATGAAATGCTTTAAAACTCATAATATAAGGATATATTAGTAGCATAGACAATATCACATGATCAAAATAGCAAGATCTCACGCGCATGCACGTGCGCTTAGCTCTGATTGGCTGAAACTAAAGTCTCAATATCTTTCTTGTTTTTTGACAAAATCCTTTGAAATTTTGAACATAGCCATGCATTAGGATATCCTACAACATAATATATAGCAATTATAATAAAAACACGTGCATGCACGTGCGCTGCAATCTGATTGGCTAAAACTTTAGATAGCCATAACTCCCTTGGTTTACAACCAAACGGGGTGGGATTTGGAACATAGATAGATATAATGGACTTCTACAAGAAGGTATGGTCACCATGCACATGCATGCACGTGCATGTACATGCGCTGCAATCTGATTGGCTTAAACTTTAAACAGCTATAACTCCCTTGGTTTACAACCAAACGGGGTGGGATTTAGAACATAGATAGATGTAACAGTCAGACTTCTACAAGAAGATATAGTCACCATGCTCAGTATGCACGTGCGTGTACGTGAAAAGAGTAAAATAAAAAATACACTTGAATGAGCGTATTTTTTAATACTTTTGGATTAAATACTTTAATCTTTAGTATATCAAAATATATAGATTGTGTAGACAAGATGATATGGTCATTACGCACATGCATTCACATGCGCAAGCGTGCAATGAACTTGGTACACTTCTGGGTAAACGTTGTTAAAGTCTTAAATGCATAGAGTTTGTCCTATTTAATGAAGCCTCCAGGGAATATGGCACCAAAACGGAGTTGGGGAGCGTTTGGGGAACATCTGTAACGGTCCCCGTTACAATTAGCACTAGTTACAATCACAATCAACTGTTTGCTTAACCTGATATAAATACAAACTTTAGAGTATTCAAGTTTAAACATGAGATTTTTAAGCAATTATCTCTGTATATACTAAGTATTTATTCAAATAAAAGTCGGTTGCTTCTTCTCTGTGACTTGACATGTAGGTTTTTACTTGTACGGTGTATAATGTATAAAATATGGGTCTCTCGATCTTTCTTCTAATAGCTATGCTAATAGGCACATTCACATTGTATTTAATATATGAAAAATTAAAAACGTTTTATTAAAAAATCATTTATAATATCGCGGGTATGATTTTTAAATAAAACGTTAATTCTACGCTATTTTTTTATTTATTTATTATTATTTATTTATTTTTTTTTGTTGATTTTTCATATGGATAGCTGCCGACCCATCGGTCTGTCAATATACATGTATATATATTTTTTTCGGAGAGCTACAGTTCTGCAGCTATCATATGGAATACAATGTACAAATATACTTAGAGATCAATTTATGAAAAATCAAAAAAATGAATTAGTATATTTTTTAACCCGGGGTGTATATTCGGGAGGGGGTGTCTTGTCCACGAGCACGTACGTGTTCAGGACCTTTTGGTTGCGGCGTTAGCATGCCATCCATGTATAATAATAAAACGATTTTCTGCTGTTTCCTGGCAACAATTTCAAACAATTTGAATTTTACATTTTTCTTTATAGGCCTACCTGGTGACTATAGGGCTTTAGAACTTCCAGGGCGTTATCACAGAGGGTACAATCTTCCTTAGTGAATAATGTCAACACTGGTAGCTTCCTTGAGGTAAAGGCCGCACAAGGTCTTACGTACAGTGGTGATTTTGATAAGAGTGAATTTGAAACAACTAAACCAAACATTTCTTCTGAACAATACGTTTATACTTTTCAACCAAGATATTTGAAGATAATTATTTGAAAAAAAAAAAAACTAGTCAGATCCAGGGTGCATTTCTCTTCAACAAACGCATAAGTTAACTGATAATTATATTAATGAATCATAGAATATAGACCTATTCAACGTTCTCACATTGTTGATCTTCTGGATCTACTTTCATTTTCTCTTTCCTCTTCAGGAAACACAACTCTGGATAGAACGATATTTATAAGCAGAGAGAGCGCGAGAGGAACACAAGTTCTCTGGATAGAACGAGAGAAAGAGAGAGAGGGAATTTAATTTAATTAATGATGTTCAATCATGTTTATAATAATACTAATATACTAATAGTGTATTCTCCAGATGTCATCCAGGCTGGTGTGCATTCCGATCTATTGGTTGGAGTTGTCAGTCACCCATCGTCGGCTGATCTCGACTTTTACTCGATCGTCAGTTCACGAGTAAAAGACGAGATCATCCGTGAGTATCCGAGGATGTCTGTGGTCCCGAGATACATGCTTTTTCTAAAATCAGATCTTGGTACAGCGACCATCAAAATTTCGGAGCGTAACAAAGGTCTGATTTTTATCAGATTGAGCGCACCCCATCCCCCACCCCATTGCGCAGCCATTATTTACACTTGTAGAAAAAAAATGTTTATGGACTAAACTTTTCATTTCCATCCTCTACTACAATAAAATTAGATTTATTAGTGACTGCATCAAATTTAAAAAAAACATCTCTTTATGATAAGCCTTGGGAGAAAATGATCTCATTAATATTGCAAACAACTTTCTCGTTATCAATACGATATGTTATAAATTCATCTCTAAATTACATCAGTGAATAGTTTTTTCGTAAGGGGATAATCATTTGAATCTGAAAGGGGGGGTCCGAGTCAAATTATTTATTTTTATATGTCGGTAAAGGATAAATTATTTATTTCCAATAAGACCAAGGACAGGATATTTATTTTCTTCACCGAAATACCGGTAAGTCACAGGCACCTGTCGAATGGATGGTGTACCTCCCCACCCCCTTCCAGCTTCTGAGAATTTTTATGGTAAAAAAAATTATCAAAAATACATGATTTCCTAGTCTATCATTCTTATATTTCGATATCTGATATCATTTTTCCGCTTTTGTTAATATCTAAAGATTGGCCGTATAAGGTATACATGTACATAAAAATACTAGTATGGGGGTGTTACACCATCCATTCCCTACGGAAGCGTATTAGTGCCACTTGCACACTTTACTTTTTTTTAATTTCGACACTTTAATCTGTAAATTTTACACTTTAAAGTGTAAATTTTACACTTTAATCTGTAAAATTTACACTTTAATCTGTAAATTTTACAGATTAAAGTGTGAATTTTACACATTAATCTGTAAATTTTACACTTTAATCTGTAAATTTTACACATTAATCTGTAAAATTTACACTTTAAAGTGTAAATTTTACACATTAATCTGTAAAATTTACACTTTAATCTGTAAAAATCTGTAAATTTTACAGATTAAAGTGTAAATTTTACAGATTAAAGTGTAAAATTTACAGATTAAAATGTAAAATTTACACTTAAAAGTATAAATTTTACACATTAAAGTGTAAATTTAACACTTTTATCTGTAAATTTTACACTTTAATCTATAAAATTAATACTTTAATCTGTAAATTTTACACTTTAATCTATAAAATTAACACTTTAATCTGTAAATTTTACACTTTAATCTGTACATTTTACACTTTAATCTGTAAAATTTACACTTTAATGTGTAAAATTTACAGATAAAAGTGTAAAATTTACACTTTAAAAATTTACAGATTAAAGTGTAAATTTTACAGATTAATCTGTAAAATTTACAGATTAAAGTGTAAAATTTAAAGATAAAAGTGAAAAATTTACACTTTAAAGTGTAAATTTTACAGATAAATCTGTAAAATTTACAGATTAATGTGTAAAATTTACACTTTAAAGTGTAAATTTTACAGATAAATGTAAAATTTACAGATTAAAGTGTAAATTTTACAGATTAAAGTGTAAAATTTACAGATTAAAGTGTAAAATTTACACTTTAAAGTGTAAAATTTACAGATTAAAGTGTCGAAATTAAAAAAAAGTAAAGTGTGCAAATGGCACTAATACGCTTCGGAAATAAGTCCGACAAACAAAATATATCAAAGTGATTAGTCGAAAACTCTAATTCGGGGTGGGGTGGGGGTGGTGAAATATGACACTGGTCAGGAACAGGTTATTTATATTCTTGTCCATCAAGGACGGATTATTTATTTTCATCATTTTCGAAGACAGATAATTTATTTTCAAAATCTGCAATCACCCCCTCAGAATCAAATGGTCGTCCCCAAATTACAAAATAATTTTCTTGATCTTTTAAGATAGTGGGATGTATTCTATTTTTTTTTTCACCTTGATAATATATTATTCCGCATTTAAATGGTGTCAAAATTTGGCTTGCATGCCGGCAAGCTGGGTGTCAGTGTCTCACACCATCATGCATGGGTTTGTATGTACTGACAAGACGGAATATTTTCTTGGATTTTGATTGGCTAAATATCGCATCTCTTAAATTAATGTATAAAGGAAACATTAAATGTTATACTTTAAATACGGAAAAAGGCATATATTTATTTATTCGTTCACACCATTATTTGATTTTAAAATTTTCCATCTCCCCGAGAGATAACTTGATGTAGAACTTCATGATGAGATTAATTTTCAAGTTGGCGCGCAGTTTTGGTTGTTTACTGAGAAAAAAAACTTCCTTCAGTTCAAAATGTTATTCAACCCATTTTCATTAGAGCAAATCGCAAAACCCCTAAAGGATTACATTGTTTGTGACGAGCTGACGCTTTGCTTGTCGAGAACTTTAAATACTACGTCACATTTCGCCACATCAAAGGACGTAACCGAGATCGCGTCTCTCCCACGCTAAAGTCGGTCAGCTGCAATACACATCGCCGACGTTTAACGGGTTTACAAAAGGGGACAGAAACACAAATCTTATTAAACAGTTTGAAAAGAGCATTATTTATATTATATGCATTTTTTAGAGTCCATAATAAATTAAAGCCGTGAAAATTTAATTTTATAGCATTTACCGTTTGTGTATATTGCACGGTATACATGCGATATAAAATGATGTACATGATCAATTTAATTTAATTGTTTCAAATCACTAGTACTGTTGATGTGAAATGATTTTTCTGTGGAAAAGAGAAATATTCCGTTTATGTATCAAACCATGAACTTGAGACTTGAGAACTTAGTATACCCCAAACAGCCGTATTATACAAGTATAATATGTACTTGTACTTTAAGTATCCATATATAAAAGAACATTTCTGTCAAGAAGAGAAGTATGCCTATTCACAATTGTCAATAATTATGTCAAAATACTAAATTAGAACGGGTGCATAGTTTTGCTTTAAAAAATACACACATGTATAATAGCTCTCTCTCTCTCTCTCTCCAGGAAACGTTTCAGTGGCTGAATATATGTATTTCAATCTATTGCATCAGTGATGTTTAAAATATGATCAGGTATTTCTGTTTATTTATCACTCAGTCTCTGATTTTTTAATTATCATGCAGTAAGCACACATTAAATCCATTCTGATTGCTCATATACGACATACATGCACTGCTGCAGAATTTTTAAATACTGTGCATTATGTAGAAAAGTACTCAAAAGCACATTTTCGCAATCCTTTATAAAACTGAGATTTCTGTAAGAACATGTAAACACCCATAACAGGGAACCCATACTGAGCACAACGTACGCAGAGTTTTTGCAAACAGCAACATATCCTCCATATATGGGGGGGGGGGGGGGGTTAGAATGAAAAAAAAAAGGTGCGATTTCAGCAACTGTGGGACAACTTTATCGAATGCTAAGACAACTTTTAATAATTATGCGATTCAATAAATATATATTTATATTGTACTAACGCAGTGGAACTACAAGAGGCCCATGGGCTACATCGCTTACCTGAGCACCGTGGCTAAGAAAATAGCAGAAATCAGCTCAATATTGAAAGTTTAAATCCATTAAAACCATAAGTGGTCCCAATCTACCTTTAAAGGGGATGGGAGTATATGTGAACAAACTTGAATCTACACTTCTTGAAATTTTCTCCCATAAGTTTCAACATTCTTGGCACTGTGTTTCTTGAGATGATTTTTAAAACATGTCATCAATTGCAAATTTTCATATTTTCTGAATTATCTCCTCTAAGACGTCGCCCTTCATTTGAATAGACTTGAATAGCGTTTACCAAAAAAATGCCTTGTGGCAAGTTTGGTTAACATTGGTCCAGTGGTTCTAGAGAAGAACTCGAAAATGTGAAAAGTTTAAAGACGGATAAACAGACGTCGGGCAAAATGTGATCAGAAAAGGTCACTTGAGCTTTCAGCACAGGTGAGATAATAAAGACCAATTGACATTATTTTTGTTGTGTTACATACAGCACAGACAAGTAATTGGCGACAAAAGTGTAAGGGGGAGGGGGTATGCTCTCTTTTAAATCCGATTCGTTTTTCCCTTCAAATACGTTAGATCTGACGGGCACATAACATAAGGGTCAGCCCTCGATCCACCCTTCCTTTTTTTCGTTTCAAACATATTGTTCGAAAGGTTCATTGAAAGGCTTTACGTTTTAATTAAGATACTTTACAACCGCTTAAGTAAACAGTTTCATGTTATTTTAGTACATGTAATTACTAAAAATATCAATTCGTGAAAATTATTGTGCATTTATTTTTAATTTTTTTCGAGAACAGTCTATTTATTTTTCAAAATCTGCCAGGTCCATCTCTAGGAATTAGATTTAGGCTTTTTGACAAAGGCGTCGAAACCGGGCGAGCGGTGCTTCTCAGGTTTTTTTAGGAGGTCTAAAAAAAAAATTTCTTAACCATAGCCCCCACTTTAATTTGCTTCCGACGCCCATGATAATTAAATATTTTCCGTCGTTTGGTATTAATTACCTTGTACATACAACATTCGTTTAAACTTAAAAATAAATTGAATTTCAATCGTTAAAATTTGAAGGTAAATGGTAGGGCTGGGCAATAATATCGATATTTCAATATATTGCAATACAATGACAAAAAATATCG